AAGAACCCCACCCCCGGCGAGTATCGTGGGTTCCTCTTCTTGTCTATATACTAATAGTGAAGTAGGCCAAATCTGTGGATACATAAATCCAGTGACTGGAGCTGTGAACAGGCAAGACAGATGTTTCTACAGACCTAAAAAGGGGCCCAGGTTGCAAAACAATGTGAAATCTAAGAAAAAAATACATTGGGGGGTTAAAAACACCCACAAAATAATAAAAGGACTGTCTGTAGGTTTAAATAGAAAAGAGCAAAAGTCCAGTAGTGCCTTAAAGACTTACAAAATGTGTGGCAGTGTATGAGTTTACATGAGTCACTGCTCAGTTTTTCAGATACTGGGGCTTGATACCGGAACTCCTCTAAGGATGGTTCCGAGAGCCCAACTCTATCTTATGTATGGCAGTGGGCGTGCGTGAGTAATTTACCCGTGTATACAGAGGGCGGATTTGGCAATGAACGCTCCTATTTCCCAGGAAGTGAGACAACACACTCGGTTTAATGAATAAATGTTGTCTTTACTAGGTAGTTCTCAAGCATACGAAAAACAGATACATACGCAGATTCACACAAGTTCCTTAGTTTACAATAGTAAATAGAAGTCTCCTCAGTAGAAGGAATGGGGAAGCTCAAGTATCAACTGGTGGGATTCTAAAACACACGGAATGGTCCAGCCAGACACGTGCGGCTCTCTGGTCGCGACTCCAGAGAACGCTATAAGAATCACCTGCAGTACTTAAGTTGCAAAGGTGAGGGAAGGGTGGGTTAACCAGTTACTCTCCTTCAGTTATTCTCCCCTGAAACAAAAGCTGTGTTTCTCTTTTTAAAACCTAGTTTTTGGGCTTGGCTTAGGGCCAATAAACCCCTAGAATCCGTCCCCTTTACTATGCTATAGGTTAAAGGGTTGTGACGTCCTACCTAAGGGGAAGGGGGCAATATTCAAATGCTCTATCCTAACTTCAAAGAGGAGCCATGTGGCCAGGTGTCAAAGTTATATCTCCATGGCAACTTTTGACTTGCAGAGATGTGCCTGGTCCATGAAGGCAATAAAGGATGTGTTCTTTGTGATGCCAAACCAGATAGGAAGATGGGTTATGCGTTTTCCCACAGATCAGCAATGGTGGGGAAACCTGTTGTTCTTCCAAGTTTCCAAACTGAGCATAATGGCGTTTGTCTTCTTTGTCCTGAGGCACGCTGGGAAGGTGCAGGGGAGCACGTGTTCTGTAGCGACACAAGCCTTGCTCATCCAGATGCAAGCATGAGATGCAAAGCAAGCCATTCAAACACCCAGCAACCCCTTATCCCATACGCACAGATGTACAGACATTTAACAGACATAGCACCAGCACAGTACAAATAATGCAGTTACAAGCACACATGGTAACAGGCTGTTGAGTGGTAAGCAGTGACTCATGTAAGCTCATACCATGCCACAAATTTTGTTTGTCTAAGGTGCTACTGGACTCTTGCTCTTTTCTACTGCTGCAGACAGACTAACACTGCTACCCATCTTGATCTGTAAGTTTAAGCAACAGATTCCCAAAGTGGTTGTTGCTAGGCAACCACAGTATTCCAGGCTAGGTTTCTGTGAGTAAAACTAGGGTTGCCAGTGCCCGGTTTGGGAATTCCTGGAGATTTTTTGATGGAGTCCAAAGAGGAAGAGGCCTCAGCTGTATATAAAGCCATAGAGCCCACCTTCCAGAGCAGTCATTTTCTCCAGGTGGACATCTGTCATCTGGAATGCTGTTGTAATTCTGGGAGATCTCCAGGACCCACCTTAGGGTTCCCAAATGTGCCCGGGGGGCGGGGAACCCCCCACTTCGGAGCCCCCGAGTTCCGCCCCGGAGGAATCCGGGCCCGGGGGAAACCCCACCCCCGAAGCTGCGTCAGCGGAGGTGACGAAGTCACGTCGCTGACGTTGGGGGCGTGGCTGAGCTCGTCGGGGGGGGAAACCATATGTTTCCAAGGACGACAGACGAACTCCCGGCCGGGACGGAGCCTCCCCCGCTGGTGAGTTCAAAGGATTTGGCAACCCAACCCACCTGGAGACTGGCAACCCTAGGCCTGGCAGCAACCTTTGGGTGATTTATAGGGTTGCTAACTCCAGGTTAGGAAATACCTGGAGATTTTGGGGGTGGAGTCTGAAAAGAGTTTGGGAAGGGGAGGGACTCGGGGGTATAATGCCATAGAGTCCACCTTCCAAAGCAGCCTTTTTCTCCAGGTGAACTGATCTCTGTCACTTGAAAATCAGTTGTAATGGCGAGAGATCTCCAGCCACCACTTGGAGGTTGGTAGTCCTATGATATCACCTGACTTGCATGATACAACTAGGCCAGTGTGATTGCTACTGTCCAACAGCTGCCACCTTATGAAAGCCAGTGTGGTGTAGCAGTTAAAGCTTCAGAGTAGGGGCTGGGCTGGGGCCCCCAGGTTTGAATCCCTATCTTTTGCTGTGGAAGCTCACTTGGTGATTATGGACCAGTCACATCTTTCAGCCTAACCTACCTCCCAGGGTTGTTGTGTGGATAAAAAGGAGAGGAGAATAATGTAAGCTGGGGAGAAAAGTAGGGTAAAAATGAAGCAAATAAATAATATAGCTGAAGATGGGAGGCAGATAAAAGAGGTTGGTGAATGGCTGAGAAGGAGAGAATGAGGCAGGGAAAGGGGAGAGGATATGGGGGTGCCAGGAGGAGAGAAAGAGGAAATAGTGTGGGGTGGGGAATGCAGGGAAAACTGAGGTGCCACCCTACAAGTCCTTGAGGGTTCTTTACTATACAAGTGAGCCTGGCCCAGTGGGCCAGCACCATACAAGTAGGCCTCAGTTTTTCCTAGGTAGAGGCTGCTGGGGGGGCAGATAAAGGTAGAGTGGCTGTTGAGTGGTAAGGAGATAGGGTTGCCAACTCCAGGTTAGGAAATTCCTAGAGATTTGGGGGTTGGAGCCTGAGGAGGGGAGGGACCTCAGAGGAGTGTAACGCCATAGATTCCACCCTTCAAAGCAACCACTTCCCCCAGGAGTAAGGGGAAACTGATCTCTCTCTTTGGGAGATCTGTTGTGATTCCAAGAGATCTCCAGGCCTCACCTGAAGGTTGGAAGGAGAGAAGGAAGTGGAAAAAGGGGAGAGGCTACGGGGGCTCTCAGGAAAGAGGGAAAAAGAAATAGTGGGGGAGGGTAAAATGAGACCTTCCGCAAGTCTTTGCAGGTTCCCATTTGTTATAATCTAGTTGCTGGATTTTATTCATATCTAGTCAGAAATCTAGTACGATTTAGGAGCCAAACAGTGCATAGAATACAGTCTTGATCCATCATGTTTTCCAAACATAGCAGATCACCTGATTTTATCAGTTTCAAATGTTTCTTATTCACATGGGGATAGCAGATGTGAAAGTAGTCTAAACTACTGTCTTTCTTTACTAGAGCTAATTACTACATGATAATCTAATGAATAATGGGTTTTATCCTACCATCCAGATTTTAAAAAATAAAGTTATTCCACTGGATTCAAAATTTCTTCTATTAATTAACCCGGTTAGCATTTGTTATGTTTTGAGCTGCACAGCTAAATGCCTTATTTCTGTGTCTCCTCACATAGTAGAAAGAATATTATAATCACTCATCTGATTTGAAACAAATAGTATAAGAAATCCCATGAAAAGTGACAATGAATCTGAGTTGTCCCAGTGACCTCCACGAGAGAGTTAAATTCTGATGCTACTAGATGAGTAGACAACTACATCCATGGCATATCATGAAGGGCTCTTAGAGCATACTAAATTAGTCCATCAATAGTTTTCAACATATTTGACTTCTTTTTCTAATTAGAAGCAATCTAAGAGAAAATGCTATATTGTCTTTAAATATTTTAAGAATTATTCAGATAAAATAATGTCCACATAAAAACTTTGAATTTGGTTGAACATTTAGAATATACTCCCCCCCCCAATTACGTATTTCAGTTAATGTATTGGTTTATTTGACACAGAATTAAAATGGGGCCCTTTTAAAATGTTGTTTATTAAATATGACAAAATAAATATGCTAACACCAGTCACATTCTAGTTATGTTTTTCCAAGAAGTCCAAAACACTGCATAAGGATATATACAAAGTAAGCAAGTTCTTCATGAACTGTATCATTGTGTTGTAACAAGCAATTAGAAGGGGCACATGGGCTTGAGGCAGACAAAATAATCACTACTCTGTTTTTTTTTTTTAAATGTATAAATATGTTTCTTGACAGTTTGCAAAAATCTATGTATAATGCACTTGGACACATATCCCTGCACAGTGTTTACAGTGCCTGTTCCTTCGTCTTGAAGCCGAGATGTTCATCAGAACATTTAGAATATGAGTTGAAACAATTTCTAGTGCAATTCACTTACTAAGGACCACCAATGTAATCTTTAGCAATTAAATAAATATGCTCCCTTCTTTAGTCACATGCACCCCATACATTTGTTCAGGACAAGCAGTATGACAATTTTGTTACACGCATTTCAGTTTACATTATAGTTGTGCACCCTATTTCTTATGTAGGTTTTTTCAGTTCAGGTAAATTGCATAGTATTAAAGCCCAAATTTCAGAAGCTAGGTTGGGGGAAATCAACCTAAAGAAAGGAAAAGAAATGCCCATGTGGCTTATTTAAAGAAAGATACCATAAATAAACAAATAAATAAACCTGAATACTACTGGACTTCTTGACTTCATGAACAATCCTCAGGAGGTCTAGTCAGAAGTTCTATGCTATTCAATAGTGTTTAGGCCCTGAAAAGTGTCCTTAGGATTGCACCCTTAGGATCTATAACCAGTTGATAACATTCTCCTGAGCACAACACTATTTCTAATCATCTGGGAATAACTTTATTTATAAGATATTTGATCAGTTGTAACATCCTTTTTTGAAGCTCTCTTTATGCACTGATCTAGACCAGAGCAGTAACACTAATTTGCCAAGAGTTAACAATAATAAAACTGTAGAGAGATTTAAGGCAAGGCAATAAATACGTTTACAATGTTAATGATAAAGAAATAAGATTGTGAAGAAGATGATCAGCGCTAGGACGCTCTGCTACATCAGCTCTCCAACAGTTTCCAATTATAGTCTCAAGATTTTGTCCGATGGCTGAGTCTCTAAACACAGGTGCAGTCAGAGAGGGGCGCAGGTTATAAGCCACCACAGAGTAGAGTACATACTGGTGCTCACCCAGATAAGGCTCTTCCTGTGTAACCATTTGCCAGAGAGTAATAGCAAAAGAGTAAATATCTGCTTTGGAGGTCACTTTTTCTCCTTTAAGGAGTTCAGGAGCTCGATGGGTATATGTTCCCCCTTGGTGATACAGCTGTGGGCCTGAGGTTGCAATATCCTCTAGCTTATGGGAACATCCAAAGTCTCCAATCTTGCAAATATTTTGTTCAGTGATAAATATGTTAGCAGGTTTTACATCCAAGTGCACAATTAACTGTGAATGGAGAAAGACTAGACCTGCCACAATGTCACAGGAGTAGTGCAGAGACTGAGCTAAGCTTAAGGACTCTCGGCCACATCCAAGGCCATCATCCTTCCTTTTTCCTGTTACCCAGTTAGTCCCATAGATAACATGATGCAGAGTGCTGTTACCTACATATTCCATTATTATGGTCCCCAAACTATCCTGCTCAGCAGGGGAGCATGTACTAGCAGCTATTACACGCACCACATTTTGATGATCAAGGTGTGCTACATTTAGTTCTGCCCAGAAGCTCTGCCGTGATGCTAAACTGTTCTTACTGCATTTCTTCACCTGCTTTACAGCCACTGTAGCTCCACGGTAAGTAGCCTTGTAGACCGAACCAAAGCCACCAGAGCCTAGGGGATGCAGCAGACACAAATGATGCCAGTCTATAGAACACCAAGCCAGGCGAGGGGGCAGCCGATGCAGTTTGGGAGAATTTTCCCCTACCAAGAGCTTTCCACTTTTGGCAGGCAGCACCAAGGGACTGCTACAGGGTCGCACATTCACAGATGGAGAAAATTCCAAATGAAGAAGACGACTAAGAGGAAGAGGAGATGGCATGCCTGTCTAAAGATAAAGTTAGGATTGGTAAACAGAAAAACATTAAGCAGTTACTGGGGAAGTTTAAACTCCAGTTCCTGTCTCATAAATATCTGCATCTATTTTCAGATGAAAGGAGTTTTACCAGGGATTTATAAACTGGGGCTATATAGAGAATTCAAATTACAGTCTCAGTCCTAAAAAGACTTACAGCACAGTCCTAATACTCAAAAGTAAGTACCACTTAACTCAATGGGACTAAGTCCCTAGGAAGTACATTCAAAATGACAGCCTTACATGGATGTAAATTACATGTCAATGTTTTCAGGATGACTGGGAATTAAAATATTAACCCTTTGTTGTACAATAGGCCTTAGTTTTTACTTGCATGTAAAGTCACCAAGTAAATAGACCTGAGAGATACAGGATAGTCATTTTAGGAACCATTGTCCCCCAACTTTAATAGCTGTCTAACAGACATTTTGTAGCCACAGCTTTCTTCAGCACTGTATCTCCATGTTCCATACCTGATGAATTTCTGCCTGTCATACAGTAACTCAAGACCTCTGCCGGAAAAAAGTGGAAAATATACATGGCCTTAAACAACAAAGATTATCTCTCGCTTTATGTAATAAAATTGGGGCAAAGCTTTCTCAAAACTTGTCTTCAAACTACCTACAAAAACTAACTGTATAAAGCATTTCCTTAAGTCAAGTTTTGCAATTATTGCACAATGATACCTCATAGAACTCTTAAGGGATTCCCCCCCAGGATTTTTCAACATGCATTGTGTTTTATGGCAGTTACACAGACTTTACCAAGACATGGTTGCCATTCACACTACAAGCTAGAAGTGTATTTCACAGGATCAAGTTATCTTCAGATGATGGTCTTGAAGTGCAGTTATGTGAGGAGACCATATAGTTTTCTTAGATCAGCTGATTATAATCAAGACAATTCATTCAATATGTACACAACAGTATAGTGATTAGACTGTTGGACTAAGCCTGAGTTTAATCACAGCTCAGTCATGAAGATCACTGGGTGACTTCCCAGCCTGACTGACTTCCCAGGGTTGTGATTGCCATAATGAGCTCCTTCTATAACTGGGTTACGTAAAAATCTTGTACATAGGAATACATTTATACAAGCCCACTTTAGATGAACATGAAATCTGTTGTATGCACAGAAAAAAGAAAGGGTCTAGCCATTATGACTAAAAACCAGGTTCGGTGCCTGGTGGAATTTCTCCATTCAAAGAGATGAACTTTCAAATTATTCTCTAGCTTTGATAATGAACATTTGTTTTGCCTTACCTAGAGCCAGTCACTCTCTGCAAGTCCAATTTACCCCACAGGGTTGTTGTGAAGATAAAATGAGGGAGAACAATGTATGCTGTTTTGAGGTCTTAGGAGGAAGGGTGGGTTAAAAATGTACTGGTTAGATAATTTTAGTAAATCTCTTGCATAGATTCTCAGTATCACACTGGGCCATCCTAAGAACACTTCCTTGGGTGTAAGTGCCATTCAATATACTTCAGTAGGATTCTGAGTAGACCTGCTGAAGATTGCTCTTCAGATTGCTCTGTGTTCTCCAAGTTGCTCTCTGCCTACATTATTCAGAAGTATCCTACTGCGTTTTGATAAGATATAATCTCAAGTGTATAATTTAAAGCATACAGACAAGTGGGCCTATTAGCTGCGAGACTATTGCTTATTAAACCGAATTAGGCAACATTCTATCCTTTTAATGTATTATGACTAAAAGTACCAAATGCTAAGTTTTGTGATACAATAGTAAGGTTTTAAGTCAAGTGGTTTCCTTGCATTCCTTTTTCTGTATGTCTCTTGACATTATTTGCTTATATATAGTAACAATGGCTTCTTCTCTGAAATCTACCTGAAAAGATATAATTATCCAGAATTGTTCAGACTTTCTTGTTTTTTTATATTTGTGTGTGTGTGCCTGGAAGTCATGGTTGACTTCTGGTGATTCCTAGTGGGGCTTGGACATTTCAGAGAGGTGGCTTATTATTGCCCGCCTCTGTGCCTTGGCATTCCTTGTAGTTCCCCCCTCCAAGTACTTGCCAGAGTCGGCCCTACTCAACTTTCGAGATCTGACGAGATCAGGCTTGCCTGGGCTATCCAGGTCAGGGCTGAGAATTGTTTAGACTTTTTAAAAATGCAAAACAGTCACTCCTCCATTTGCACTTGGCTGGATGACCTTGGGCAAGCCGTAGTTCTGATAAGAGCTGTTCTTGAAAAAAGAGCAGTTTCTGTCAAGAACTCTCTCAGCCCCACCTACCTCACAGGGTGTCTGTTGTGGGGAGGGGAAGGGAAAGGAGTTTGTAAGCCACTCTGAGACACCTTTGGGTCGTGAAGGGCAGGGTATAAATCCAATTTCTTCTTCTCTTCTTCTTCTACATATAAATATGTATGTTATATATGCATGCTGTTTATTTACCACTATATATGTACACTTGTTTTCTTCCCACAGCACTCTCAACACAATAACTTAGGCCTTGTTTAAATATAATGCTAGCGGAAAGAAGTTGCCAGTGTTAATTCTTGGAATTAGGCCACTGTATAGACCACAGAAATGTCTTCAGACAGCGCTGGCTCTTTGGCTTGGAAACGGAGATGAGAACCACCCCCTAGAGCTGGATTTGACTGGCTTTCGAGCAAGGGAAACCTTTACCTTTACTATAGACAACAGTAACACACTAGTATAACATATACTCACTTCCCAATTCTGGCATACAACACTGCATTGGCTGAGTGGCTATTTCAAAATGGTTATGCTTAAGATTGCATATGTAAGTTCTTCTGTCCTACCAGCATTATAGTTGCATCAGGGCTTAGAATCAAAGAATCATGAGGGTATGTACTCAGTTCTCTTTTACCCTGGAAAGTTGCAAAGAATAACAATGCCAATATTTTCATAACAAAACATCAGGTGTTTCTATTTGGATATTTTGACACTGATTTTTGTTCTTTTTACATTGTCCTAATATAGAAACTGGCCAGAAGTTTAACAAGGATTTATATTTTTCACTAGTAGAAAATAGACAATGATTAAACAGAAAAGCCAATTTTTCTTTAATGTTGCTGGATTTTTTTAATGCAAAGGAAGCAGCCTTTATATATGGTTTTGATTCCTGTATACTATATTTGAAATGGTGTACAAATGTCATTGTCATTATTTCCTGTTCTGTTTGCACTGCCTACTCCTATTGATTGGAAACTCTGTATTACACCTGAGGTGTGTTTTGCTTGTATTACACTAGGGGTACTTGTATGAAATTTCTAGGCAGTTGGAACATTAACAGTGCAATCCTAAAAAGAGTTACACTGATGCCCCTGAGATCCTCAACCCCCTGGACCCCCATTTTGCCATAGTTTGTCCCCATACTTTTTTTACACGTGCACACCTCAGAGTTGGCCAAGGTTTGATAGAGAGAGCCTGAATGATATCAAAGGGCAGTGAGTTATGCCAAAGGAGAAAAGGAATGCAGGGCAGCTCTTCTATCAATCATGCAAAAATTCACCCTAAGAAAACCTAGATTTCCATAACAATGAGCAATAGGCTGATTCCAGCAATTTAGTGAGTATCTAAACAACTACACAGGAAGGTTCCAGCCCTTCTTTTTAAGGACCTCGCCCCCTTCTCAATCTGAGACCCCCTTGGTTAGTGGAGTCCTCCTCTTATTTTTGGCTTAGTTGTTTTAATAGGCACCCCCTTTTAGAGACTAAGTGCCACGGGATCTGAAACTTGGAGAAACTCATAAAGGTACCTGGTTACAGCCATGACATGAGAAAACCCAGGAGAGAGGAAGTGTGTGCTGGAACTACAAACTGATTAAATGCAACTCCCCCAACTCTAGTGGCATAGTGTTCTCAAGGACCAAAAAACCTTTCAATGCTAAGGTCCACAGTATGCCTAATACAATCATATCCCTTTCTCCAAGGGATACTTCATCAAGGCAATGTGAACTATTTCCAGCTATAGACAGTTGGGCAATCCTTCAGTATCACTAAGCCAATCCAGCCATTGATAAAGTCAGTATAACATCCAATGCACCCAGGATGGGCCATCAGGAGGACACGTAAACCCATCATTCACTCCCAGTTCTTTTTCAATATGCTAAAACTGTCCAGTGATCACCCCACCTTGGAATGTCAGGTATTTCCCTACTAATCTTCCTGCCAGTTTTTGACAGCCATTACCTTCAAACTGCCCAGTCAAGTTCAAGCTTCATGTCTTGGGCCAATCATGTTCCTGGGAAAGTGGATTCTCATGTCTAGCTATGGGACCCATCCCCATAAAAAGACCATCCCAAGTCAGTGGAAAGTGTGTCAGGTTTTCCAACAATGAAAGCCAGTTTGGTGTAGTGGTTAAGTGTGCGGACTCTAATCTGGGAGAACCGGGTTTGATTCCCCACTCCTCCACTTGCACCTGGCTGATGACCTTGGGCAAGCCGTAATTCTGATAAGAGCTGTACTTGAAAAAAAGTTGTTTCTGTCAGAGCTCTCTCAGCCCCACCTACCTCACAGGGTGTCTGTTGTGGGGAGGGGAAGGGAAAGGAGTTTGTAAGCCGCTCTGAGACACCTTTGGGTAGTGAAGGGAGGGGTATAAATCCAATCTCTTCTCTTCTCTACAATCTGAACACCCCTGCAACTGTATTGTGGGCTTCTTTTTTTTCCTCCTTGCTCTGCTTCTTGGACTTCAGCTGTGTTAGCCTCTGGACCTCTCCAGACCTCAAGCCCAGAATTCCAGGTTGTATGCCCCTTCCCTAAAACCTCCCAATTTCCTCCCTCCAACCTTTTATAAGTGTGCCATTTTGGTGTGTGTGTGGTTACTTAGGGAATTAGTTCTCAAGTGCCTAGTGTAAGTTCTTTATATTTTTATTCTTTTTATGTATTTTCTATACAATAAAGCTATTTATTTGCATTTACAAGCAGTTTCACTCTCTTTCTCTGTAATTTTATTCCAACTCTTCTTAGCTAGGGCTGAAATCAGAC